AGTTTTACTAGTATATAAATTATATGTATATTTAGTGATATTCTACGCTAAGACTATGTACACACAAACACAGATAACAACAATACTAAAGATAGAGCAATTAGACCAAGCACCCAACTCAGCCAATAGAAAAAAAACAAAGACAAGCCCTAGATAACCAAAACCCTAAAATTACAAAATTGAAAACCAAATCAACGACAAACCCTAGGTTGCGAAGGAATTCAGTAGATTAAGAAGACCACAATGGCCCAAATCTTACCTCCAAGTTGGTTCAATGGAGGACCGAAAACTCAGAATGCGCTTCAATGGAGAATAGAGAGCACGAGTTCAACGGAGGAGAGATATGGAGAGAGAAGGAGGTGCATGCAGCTGCTTCAATGGAGTGAGAGAGCTCAAAAATGGCTTCAATGGAGAAGGTGGGAATTCGGAGGTGGTGGCCTGGAAGAGAAGGTGAGAACGAGGGAAAAAACAAGTTGAAAAAACAGGGGGAAAGAAAAGAAGAAGAAGAAATACGAGAAGCCCGGGTTTTTTTTTTTTTAAAATGCGCACCGGTTTGAACCTAACCGGTGCCAAATCCCTTTCTCCCCCCTTTTTTTTTTCTTTTTTTTCTCTTTTTTAATTGGCACCGGTTTGAACCGGTGCGAACAGTATAAATCCCCACCATTTTAATAGGAATCGGTGCCAAAAGTCTGTATTCCCAATACCGCCCATTTCTTTTCCACCGGTTTTCAAAAACCGGTGCCAAAAGTGCGGTGCCGATTTCCTTTTTTCTACTAGTGAACTTTCACTTCCAATGGTAATACCGAGATGGAACTTGTTCTTGATAAGGTTCAAAGGCGTGTTACTGATGAGTTGAATGTCGAATTATCTGTTGCGTTTACTAGAGATGAGGTTAGAAGAACATTGAAACAAATGCATCCGACAAAGGCACATTCACACTTTTGAGGTTAGAAGAGCATTGATGGGATGCCAGCTCTTTTCTATAAAAATTATTGGCATGTGGTAAGAGAGGATGTGATATATTATGCTCTAAATATTCTGAATAACGGTAAAAATACCCAGGCCACGTGGCCTAATTAGAAGGGGACACGTGTCACCCCAGGAGAGGTCCAAAAAGGACCAACCACTAGTTGACATGTGGCATTCCCAATCAACAGGGAAAAGGTGGCCTTCAAAGGCTTAAATCCCGATACGCCGTAAAAACGGCACAACCCAATTACCTAGGTTGATAACCTAGAAAAGGAGCGTTGATTCCCCATGCCCTATAGATAGGGACATTTACCCCATTTTGGGGACACGTTCATTTATTACATCACAATCAATTCTCTCTCATTAGAGAAAACACCTGATCTCGGGATCCGAGAAGATCTACCTTACTTTTCGCACTTTTACCTTACTTCGACCGTTTCTAACTTGATCGTCGGAGGCGGAAATCCGAACCCTCGGAGCTTCCGTTTGTTTGCAGGTACAACCAAAGAGCAACCAGTCTTGGTGAAGTAACTCTCCCGCAGGACATCTCGCAAAAAACCCCGAAACATTTGGCGCCGTTTGTGGGGAGAGTACCTCTAAGATGGTTTCTCAAGAGACTGTACCGCCTCCTGAGGAAAAGCATCCGTCAGCTGAGGTCCATTTGGACCATGATAAAGAGTCGGATCTAGAGGTTGAAGTATTTACGGCCGAAGATGGATCCATCATCACTAGACACGTTCGTTCCAAGGATAACAGGGAACATGGCGATAACTAGGCGGGTCCGAGCAAGTCAGATGGCCAGCCTCAGCATATAGGACAAACTGCTCACATCACTCGTGAGGAGTTTGTCAAATTCATGATGAATTTTAAAGGTGAGATGAGAGATCTCATCAAGACCCTGACGGCTGGTCCAAGCAAAGGACAGTCGTCCAAGAAACTTTCTTGTACGGGATAGCTTCGGCAAAGCTCTTCCCATGCTCCTAACCTCAGGGTAGAAGAACGTCTCCAGTCAGCAAGAGTCGACCTAAGTGCCTCAAACCACCTTTTGAAGGGTTAGTTATATAGGGTAGCTCCCGCTGAGCTGACCTGTGCTCCTAGCATTACTTGAGGGGAGCGCACTCGAACAGTCCACTCCAAGGCAAGGAAACCCCCCCCCCCCAGGGGGCTCAGCCTCACGGCTGACCCTAGAGGGCTCCATCTCAGAGTTAGGGATAATCTCCCACGGGCTCAGCACCAGGGCTGGCCTCAGCAGGCTTCAACCTGCGGCACCAAGAATAGAACAACTATAAATAGTAACCAAAGTACAACGAAAAGGGGGTTACACACACACATTCATCTTTTATCACTTACCCATTATTATCCAATACCTTACTTACTTAAGCATCCGAGGGGGGTTCCTCGAAACCACCCCCGAGGGCATAACCACTGTTCATTGTGCAGGTAATCCCAGCCAGCATCCAGGACCAGTCACCAGCTAGTCTCCGGAACTACACCCGGAATAATTGGATCAGGAATGATACCAGAGGGGATAATAGAATTATCAGTCCAAGTGGGAGAAGGAGCTCAGGCCAGGAACGTGAGAGCATGATTCCTTGTCATTAACTCCCAAACTCCGTACAACGTGATAATGGGCAGACCCCTCATCCACAAGATAAGTGGAATGGTGTCCACGCTGCACTTAGCATTAGCATATGCTAGCAACAGAGGTTGCTTAGTCAAATTGAGGGGCTGCCAGAAAACGGCAAGGTAGTGTTACAATACTGCTCTGAAAAACCCAGAGAAATGTGGTTATCTGCCCAAAGTCCCAGAAGAGACCGCAAGAGAGGAAAAAGCCTCTAGGAAGAGGAAAAGGCAGGAGTATAAAGAAGAAAAAGAAAAGCAGAAGCTGGCCATGGAAAATTTTGAGCCTGAGAGGGAAGAGGTAGCCCGTCCAATCCCAGAGGGGGAGCACGAGATAGTTGCATTAGTCGAAGGAGATGAGTCCAGGACAGTGAAGATTGGAAAAGACATCGAGCCTAATGTTAGAGTGAACTTGATAGTGTTGCTCAGGAAGAACGCAGATGTGTTCGCATTCTCAACAGACGAAATGACAGGTATCAATCCAAAAATCATGGAACACCGTTTGAACGTTAGAGAAGACTCGAGGCCAGTGAAGCAGAAGCTTAGAAATTTTTCTGCAGAGAAAAGTAAGGCCATCCAGGAGGAAGTGGACAAGCTCTTGGCTGCGAAATTCATAGAACCTTGTGACTACCCAGAATGGCTAGCAAATGTGGTAATGGTTAAAAAAGCCAACGAGCAATGGAGGATGTGTGTGGACTTCACATACCTGAATCGAGCCTGCCTAACAGACTGCTATCATCTGCCCAGAATAGATCAGATGGTAGACTTGACGAGCGGGCACGCAGTCCTGAGTTTTATGGATGCCTTCTCGAGTTATCACCAGATCAACCTGTATGAACCATATAGAAAGAAAGTGGCCTTTATCACTGACGGGGGAGTATTCAACTATGTCGCAATGCCTTTTGGCCTGAAGAATGCAGGGGAAACGTTCTAAAAAACCATGGACAAGGTCTTCGCTCACCAGAGAGGGAGGAATGTGGAAGTGTATGTAGATGATTCCATAGTAAAAAGTTTAATAGCACACAACCACATCTCTTACTTGGAAGAAACATTCAGCACGCTGAACAAATACCAAATAAAGTTGAACCCAAAGAAATGCGTATTTGGAGTGACAGCGGGCAAATTCTTAGGTTTCTTGGTGAGCGAAAGGGGGATCGATGCGAACCTAGAGAAAATACAAGCTGTCTTAAGCCTCCCATAGCCTAAGAGCGTCAAAGACGTGATGAGGTTGACAGGCAGGATGGCAGCCCTCACCAGATTCATTAGCAAGTCAGCAGATAAAGCTCTGCCATTTTTTCAGCACCTAAAAGGCAATCGTACATTCAAGTGGGAGCAAGCTGAGAAGGAGGCATTTGCCCGAGTAAAAGAGCACTTGGTCAGCTTACCAACAATGACAAGTCCAGGGGTAGGAGAGAGGCTACAATTGTATGTGTCTGCGTCACAGCAAACAATAGGATCAGCTCTGCTAGTGGAGAGAGGAAAAACTCAGCACCCAGTTTACTTTGCCATCCATGTCCTTGTTAGATATTTAAAGTGTTTATGGTTGCGCGTTCGTGAACCATGAAGAGCATCCGTGCAAGGTTGGCGCGGCCGCGCAGAGAGCGCGCCTAAACTTCGTAACTCTCTGGAAAATTCTGACAGTTTAAGGTGGAGCGCCCACTCTTTCAGGTGGCGCGACCGTGCCATCGTCAGGCGCGCCCGCGCTAAAACCGCGACCCTTACTGGAAAAATCGGAATTTTGGAAGGACGAGGAGGAGCGCCCGCGCGAGCAAGTGGCGCGCCCGCGCAACCTCCCTCGACTTCGGTTTTGCGGTTATTTCTTATATAATGTAAGAAGGCCCTTATTTTGTGAGATACGAAAAACTGATTTTCCTCTCTGAAATTCTCTCCTCTCTACACCTTTATTGAAGAAACTTGCAATCTCTTCATTAATCCTCTATCATTTAAGTTAATTGTTTGAGAATTTGATCTTCTTTCTACACATTTAAGTGCTTAAAGTGTAGAGTTCGTCTATTATATCTCAAAGCGTGTTTCTGGTTCAACCCAAGGCACCGTTGTGGGGGAAATTAATGCTTTAGGAAAGTGTTCTCACGCCTTAGACGAGTATCAAGTATCGAAGACTCACGTGGTCCATGGTATTCTCGTGTTCTTAGTTGATTCATTGGCTAGGAGTGAGGCAAGTGATTTTCTTCATACTTGTAGTTTAGATTAATTTCTGTAAATTAACTTTCTAAACTTGTTGGTGTTTGGTGTGTTGGTGTAATTGTATTATCACTAGTAGAAAAAATTAAATAGGCACCCCCCTATAGCACTGGTTCTTAAAAACCGGTGCCAAATAAAACGGGAGGGACCAGAAAAATTAAGAGTTGGCACCAGTTCTAACCAAAACCGGTGCCAAGCATGAAATTAGCACCAGTTCAAACCGGTGGCAACTTGTAAAATTAAAAAAAAAAGATGGGGAAGGAGTTGGCACCGGTTCTCCTTAAACCGGTGGCAATTAAGGTAGTTAGAACCGGTTCAAACCGGTGCCATTTTAAAAAAATAAAACGCGGGTTTTGCTGCTTCAACTTGGTTCAATGGCATTCTTTCTTCATTCCTCCTTTTGGCTTCAAAAATTCCCAGACATTTTTGCCCTATTCTCTTTCCCCTCCATCTCTATTGAAAGGCTGTGCGAGCTTTCTCCTCTCCATTGAAGCAGTTAAGCTAAGCGACCTTACTCACATCTTTCATTCAATTCAATTCAATTTTCTGCGTTCCCTCTTCCCAAACCCTTCCTCCATTGAAGCTTCTGCCTCCTCATACACGCAGCCTGTCTGGGCTTTGTTCTTCTCCTCACGCACGCACTCAGTTCTTCTCTTCTGCCTCCCTCCATGCATTATTGAAGCAGCTTCGACCTAGGTAAGTAATAACGCTCCTCCATTCACTTAGCTTCTCCATGTATTGCATTAAAACCATTGTTGGGTTTTATGAGGAATTGGTCTTTAGTTTAATATTTGTAAGTTTCTTGTAATTGCTAGGGTTTGTCAATTGCTACTTAACTACTCCATTAAACGCGCAAGGCTCCCCCTCCATTAAACGCACAAGGCTGCCCCTCCACAAATGTAAGTCCTTTGTAGTTGTTATTGTTGCTGTTTATAAGCTGAGAATTCTATTTAGTACAAGCTGCATTTATCTATAATTCTAAATTGTTATGAGAACTTTATTTATCATCACTAATAAAGTTGAGAATTTTATTTTGTTTATAGGATAATTTAGTATTTTTTATTTTAGAGAACAAAGTTGAGAGGAAGCTAATAATAGTTGTTTCGGGGTTTTTTGAGGTGTCCTACGGGAGAGTTACAGCACCGGGAATGTACGCCTGACTTCTGTACCTGCAAAACCACGAAACTCCGGTTGGGTGGAGTTCCGCCTCCGACGGTCAAGTTAGTATGATTTCGGATGAAATTACGTACGGAAGATAAATTGGTTCTCTCGGATTCCAGGAGATTCATCAATTAATATTGCTCGGGTTTTTATGGGCGTATTTATGAATATCAATAAATGAGGTAGATTCCTCTATTTATAGCAGATGGGTCTGCTCCCCCATTGGGGGTACAATGCCACGTGGCATCCATTTGTTGGATGCCCATGGTGCAATAGGGTGATGACACGTGTCAGATCCCTATAGGGCCACGTGTCCAGGGTAATTTTTACCCTAAACATTTGCCCCTCACGGGTGCTGACGTGGCTATGCCACGTGGCACCTGTGACACGTGCCAACCAAGCAGGAAGGCGATGATTCGCCTCCCTCCCCCTCTTTTTTCAAATTTCAAACTAAGGGGAAAGAGGAGATGACGGTTCACCTTCTGAGATCTCTTATAAATAGGCATCCCCCTCCTCTCATTTCTCACTTTGTCATTTTTGAGAGAAATTTCTTGAGAGAAAAAGCGAGAGCTCTTGACCCCGCCTGCTTACTTGTGCAAAAAGCCGTTCTTTCGGATACCGCCTGAGTTACGCAGTCCGTCTTACTAAGGTATCCTTCTGACTCAATCGGTCTTTGATTGGATGTTTGATTATGCTGCAACCGGCTTTTGCCGTCTGGAGCGTTTTAGGCAATTTTTTATAAATTGCGTCTATTGAAAATCTAAGCCGGTGTAGACCGTCTGAGTTATCTTCTGGCACTTATTGAAGTTGCACTCAATAGGCCCTCAGTCGGTTTACACTGTCTGGGGCATCAAACAAGCAATCTCATTGGTGAGTTGCATTCAATAGACCCTCAGTCGGTGTAAACCGTCTGGGGTATCTTCAAGCAATCTCATTGGTGAGTTGCATTCAATAGACCCTCAGCCGGTGTAAACCGTCTGGGGTATCTTCAAGCAATCTCATTGGTGAGTTGCATTCAATAGACCCTCAGCCGGTGTAAACCGTCTGGGGTATCTTCAAGCAATCTCATTAGTGAGTTGCATTCAATAAACCCTCAGCCGGTGTAAACCGTCTGGGGTATCTTTTATCGAACTTTCTTTTGGCCTGCCTTGCTGTTTTCCCAGCCAGTCTCATACCGTTTGGGGGGTGAGCAAGCAATTCCCTTCTAAACTGTTTTGCTGGAACCCCTGACCGGTCTTTACCGCCTGGGGTGCCTTCAAACAGTTCTCATCTTAACGAATGCACAGCCGGCCTTCAGGCCGCCTGTGTTGGTTTCTCTCTTTCTTTGAGCTGTCTTCTTGTGAAACTCAGCCGGTTTATGCCGACTAGGGGATCTTTGCTCAATCTGAAAAATCCCAGATTATTTTCTTTTGCCGATCTTTCCCAACCGGCTTTTCCCGCCTGTGGTATCTTTGGGCAACATTGGTGATTAATTTTCCTTTTGCCAATTTACAGCTTCCTCAAAGTGATATCGTTTGAGGTATCTTTGGTCAACAACCGTCTCCAAACTTCTGTCCAATCTCAAGGTAACGTCTTGGTTCCTTGTCTTTTTTGGAGTTTATTTTTGAATCCTTTAGCTGTAAATACCTTAATAATGACCTCACCCATCACACACACGACACACCACAATTTAGAGGTCAGCCGGTCTCCTGGTACGGCTGAGTCTAGGACTGGGGGTGCCGCCTCTAGGTACGGGGAGTCTCCTTGTTCATCTCCGAAACCGATCGTCTCTGTCTCTGTGCAGGACGCAATGGCTCGCACAAAAAAGACTGCCTTCGATCCAGAGTACAGAGAGGCAGACTCAGGCGAGCTGCCGGCTGACCCTAGCCAGACAAAGGGGACAAGAGATTCTCCGCCTGGCACCCCAAGCACTCCCAGTGATGGAATTTTAGGAATAGGAATGGGAGGTGACGAAGATGTCGCCTCGCCTTCTAAAGTTGAGCTGGAACACCAAGAGGGTGCCAGCGACGACGAGACCGCCTCCTCATCCGGTAGAGAGCAGAGCGGCAGCAGCAGCAGCCTCTTGACACCGGATGTTGATAGTGAGGCGGAGGAAAGGCCTAATTGGAATAATAAAGGCGACCCGTTCCTCATCACCATCTCTGCCAAGGATAGGGCAAGCATGGCCAATAACTTGGAGGACTTTGTAAAAATTCGCCCGCTTGGGAGGGACTGGAAAATAATTATGCCGCCTGAGTTGGGCACTATTGTTTGGGAAGACAAGCAGCCCAATGCGGACGGATATTTCGGCTGCTATGAGTTGACATTCCTAGCTGGTCTACGCTTCCCCCTTCATAACACAATAAAGGCCATCCTTCGAGGATATGGCCTTGGCATTTGGCAGTTAACCCCCAACTCATGGGTTAACATATTGGGTTACATTGCCGCCTGCGAGATGCAGGAAATCAACCCCGGATGGGAGGCTTTCGCTCACATGCACTACTTGAGCAGAAGTCCAGGCGGTTGGAGAGCCTGGTACACACTGACCACCTATCCCCAGTACCTGATGACTTTAGACAAACCGTCTAAGTGGTCCGACTGGAAGAACAGGTTTTACTTAGTCTCCGCCCCTACTAAGGCGGAGAACCGGGAGTATAGGGTATACAACCGGAAGCCAGCCCTTTTGGGTCACAAGTGCAAAAAACCTCGTGTTCCGGATGAGGACTATGAGTGAATAATAGAGTCCAAGTTCTTTGAACAGACCACCGCCACCCTCTCCAATGGGTACTTAATAAGTGTACCCAGAAATTGGGTACCTAGGCACGAGTTTCTTCGAGACGAGGCGTTTCTGTCCGTCTGTAAGCTTAGCACTCAGTTTGACAAACGTAGGTCACATTAGAGATTGCCCCTATTTTATTTTGTAATATCTTGTTCCTTGTTTTATTTGTTTCTCTGACCGGATGGGTTCTTTTGTGCAGTGCGTGGATTAGCAATGTTGCCTGCTGACAAGACACCCGCCAAGTCAGCCTCTGAAATCCGCAAGGCTAATGCGGAGAAAAAACTCGCTGCTCAGGCGGCAAAGAAGGTATCTTGCTTTTCCTTTTTTCTTTCTACATATATTTCCGTTTGGCTTCAATGCCGCCTGAATGCTATGTTTGTTTTCAGGATGGGAGCAAGGTGCCCCATTCCGTTTCCAAAATAATCAGGCCTAGGCCTGGAGAGGAGCCGCCTGCCCAGAACAAGGCGAGGAAGACTTCCTCTTTGACGGTACCCAGCCGTCTGACGATTGGGGGTAAAACTCTCAAGAACCTCGGCTTGGGGTTCGATCTGTCAAAGAGGCAACCGGATGTTCCTGAAAAGGAGACGGCGCCGCCTAGGGCATTCGGTGCTTCAATACCGGCTGAGGGTAGTCATGACCCTCAACCTACCACCCAAGGTACTCTTGACCCCTTCAACCCTTCTTTGCTTGGCAAGCCTATGCGGGTCAAGTCGCACTCCCAGCTCCAGCCAGAAGACTCTTCTGGCAGCCGGCAGTCGATAGGAGGGAAGTATGTTGCCTTCTCACCATCTGTTTCTGGTGCAGATCACTCCCCTCGCTGGCCGGATGTACAAAGGTACGCTCGGGCCATGATGAAGGCCGTCCTAAAAGAGGAGAAGGAGGCGATCCCAGGGATCCATTCCTTCAATGCTGACCAGGTTCTGGCCGGCCTGTCTTAGGTACATAATCCTTCAATTTGTTTTTTAAGTTATTATGCCGCCTGGTCACTTCTGACACCGTCTGGGCTTTTGCAGTCAATGCTGCGCGTGGAAGGGCTCAAGAAGGCTTATGCCCGCAAGTGTGAGGAGGTAAGACGGGCTAAACGGGATGCGTCTGATGCCCATAACGTTGCCCAGTATTCCATGATTATGTATGAATTAAAAACTAAAAGCATAATCATGCAACAGGCGGACAACATCAAGCGGATCCAAAAGGCGCTCGATGAAGTCGGCACCAAGATCCACAACCTCAAGGCGGAAAAGGATAATGCCGAGGCGGAGCTGAAGAAGGTGAACGACTCTTCCAAACTCCTGGAGGTGGCCAGGAAGGAGAACAAAAATCTCCTTGCTGACAACGTCCCTTGAAGGAGGCGGCAGCCAAGGCAAGCGACAATTTCAAGGCTACGCTGGAGGCTGAACAGAGTCGGCTCATCGAAGAGAATGAGCAAGACTGCATCGCTCGAATGCAGAAGGCTTGGTCCCTGGTCCATCCGGACGCGGAATACACCGTCTGGGAACTTGCTTACAAGTATGCAAATCTTGCCATTGATGCGCAAGAAACGAACCAGCCGGCTCCGGAGCCTTATGAGGAGTGGGTCCAAAAGCAAATTGAGGCCATGCAGGCGGAGAACGGCTCAGAAGGGGGAGAGAATCAAGAGGAGATTGTCCCTCCTGTCCCAGGAGCCGCCTTGCAGAGCCAAGATCAGGATCAGCCTCCTCCTCAGCCTTAAGCTCTTAGTCATATTTTTCGGCCTGCGTGCCGTATGTTTCCATTGTATCTTTTACCGGACAGGGGTCCGGCTAACAATTGAACAAGTTTTAAAGTTGATGTTAATATAATTTTATGCCGACTGAGTCGGTCATCCTTGCAACACTTGTTCTATATTTTGCTTTTCATTGTTTGTATGCTTCTCTCTCTTCTTTTTTTTTTTTTTAACTGACAATGTCGAATGGGTTGACTATGCCTGCCCCTGGGTGGGTGATTGTTTAGTGCAAACACTAA